TAAAGGCGATTGAGAAACAGATAATGGAGCAAGATGGGAGGTGGGAGATCAGCAACTACAACGTATCTTTTTAAGCACCTCTTAATAGCGCTACAACTTCGATATGAACGGTAGCTTGAAAGTGTTCTTATTTAGGTGCGAAATATTGTTCTGGAACTTCGAGGTTTTCGTAAGCGTTTTTTCTCATGTGTGAAGAATGAAAGCTAAAGTAGTGGACTAATACATTTTTACTACTTATGGCACCGTAGTTTCGTTTGAATGCTTAGGAACGCACGTTTTTGTTCCTCTCAAATTTTATATGCTCTGACGGTCTGTTTGAGATTTCGAAATAGATGGCAATCCCATTTATGTGCCTCTAATATACCATAGCCTTTTGGCAATAACGCGATTGAAAAGTGGAAAGAAAGTGAATAAAACAATAGTGCAAAGAAATCATGGGCAACTCAGTCCTTGGCGTTTTAGCGTGTTTTGAATTTCAATTGTTGTTGTTCAATATATTATCGCTACCTACTGATCTCGACGTAGTGCGCATGTTTTGCATCTAAATCTTGATGCCTTGATATTGCTATTATTTATCAGTACTATAATAGGAAACGAGCGGCTTGGGGAACGTTTGAGAGCATCGAAGATGTAGTGAAGAGAACAAAGAACATCCGACTCCGTGCCCACCTTTTCGACTCGACAATTATCCCTGCCCTAGCGTATGCAGCAGAAACCTGGTCGCTACGTAAGCAGGATGAAAGATCACTTGCCGTTATCGAACGCGCAGTCGAAAGGTCGATGCTAGGAGTATCTCGTATTTCGCAAATGAGACAAAGGATCCGAACTTCCGACCTACGTCAACGATCGAAAATTAGAGATGCCGTTCTACACGCCACGATATCGAAAATAAGGAGGGCCGAACACGTGATGCGCTTCAACGACAACCGATGGACGAGAGCCGTTACCGACTGGATTCCTCGGGACGTCAAGCGCTCTAAGGGAAGACCACTGACCCGTTGGTCCGATTTCTTCACGAAAGCGATGGAAGAAAGATATGATGCTCAGCGAATTCCTAGAGCAAGGAGGACCCACTGGGCTACTCTTGCACGCGATAGGGAAAAATAGAAGAGTTGCTGGTACCCGCTCGAGTCACTCGACGATTAACGGGACGACAGGTGATACAGGTGATAATATGTAAATGTTCAAACCACTTATGTCGGGAGTCCGTCGTTTCGATCATGTCGAAGCCTTGCGTCACAGAACGTGCCATATTGATGATTTTCTTCAATATAAACATTGCCAAAGTACCAACGAATCAACCAATTCACACTGATTTGCACACGGTTTTGTGGTTCGTTGTTGCTCGTTTCTTCTTCCAAAAGTATCGAAGTTAACTGAGTGGTTGCGCTAGAGCAAAACTTTACATATATGAAACGAATAAGAAAGCAAAGTGCTTGTACTGCAAGAAACATTCAAATTAATATGCTTTTTATTCGAAGTTCTAGTAAGTATGCATTGGAACGTATGAATTTCACTTGACTTATAATAGCACCTTCACAACGCAAAAACAAAAGGTTGCAAATTATCCATCAAGTTGCAGGTTATCCATCTAAACCAACTGAAAGTTCCATTCATATACTTCTTTCTGATTTGACAGAATCCTGATAATCAACACAGCAGAAGCGGCGTTTGAAACGAAGATGAAAACGTTTTCCAATGCATAGCATTCAAGGTGACGGCAATATTCTGTCTGTGACGGCGAACTTCTGCTTGAAAATTAGAGAAATACCCACACGAATCAAATTTAAATTCTTTTATAGTGTTAATACATGAAGCACAGCCATTGTGATATACGCTCATTACATAATAAAAAGACTTAATCCGGTTTTGATGTGATCTCTTAAGTTTAGCATGCGGTCTTCATTCCACCACTATCGTAATTCGACATTCCTTATGATCATTTTTTGAGCCACGCATGTGGTCTTTTTAAGGCAACCAATAGAGCTTGATACACGCGTTTCGGCCTTGGCGTCCTCGTCAGTAGGGCACTAACATTCCTTTTCAGCCAGTATTCTCGGTGGGACATGACCCTCACAGAGAGTTGGCGACAATGAGCATTTCAGACCTGGCATTAAGTGAAAATATCACTGGATGGCAGAGTTTCACACTCGACTGCTCTTGGCTGGTATCAATAAACATATCATGCGTTTCGCTTCGAGTGCTCTCTCAAGAACTTAAGAAATTTGCGTCGAAACCACTATGTCGACATATTCTATATTTACACATCGGTTTCTTTTAAAACAAACATTATCCAGGTTTGAATCGCTCGTCGAGGATACGAAAATTAGCGAAGAAATTTAGAAATAGGAAGAGAACAGTTTATTGCTCGTAAGTGCTTTCACACCTTCAAAAAAACATACAAACTCAGTAACGTACCGAGTTATGGACAACTTCCTTGTTTCGTCATATTCTATTCCTACACATTACCTTCCTCCAAATGATACATCATGCAACTCTCAGTCGTTTACAAGGGATATGAAAATGAGCAAGGAATTACGAAGAAATCACTTCATTGCTTCTTACAGGATACACACCACTAAAAAAAACTATATAGACTCAGTAGTTCGAGTTCATATACTCGACATTCTTTCCTCATATTCTACCGCTGTACCTTAATTGTCCAGCTCTGAGTAGTTCACCGAGGTCATGAAAACGAGCGACAAAGACCTAAGAAAATAGTTCACTGCTCGTAGCCCCTTTCACACCTATCAAAAAAATCGTATAAACTCGCTAATTCATTGAATCAATATTGCTTCACCATATTCTATTTCTACATACCGTCTTCTTAGAAATCAAACATTATACAGCTGAGAATCTTTCACAGAGGGCATGAAAATAAGCGACAAAGGCCGAAAAAAACAGTACGGGATTGTTGCAGCTTCCACACCTATCAAAAAACCATATAAACTCACTAATTCATCGAATCGATTTTGTTTCGTCATATTCTATTTCTACACATTGTCATCCTCCAAATGAAACATTGCAGAGCATTGAATCGTTTACCGAGGGATTGACAATGGGCTACGAAGGCCCAAGAAAACAGTTTAATGCTTGTAGGGCCTTTCGCACATTTTAAAAAATTGTATAAACTCAGCTAATCACACAGTCGACTTTGCTCTGCCATATACCATTTCTGCACATTGTCTTCCTAAAAATGAAACACTGTCTAGATCTGAATCGATCACCGAGACCATGAAAATGGGCGACAAAGATCGCAGATAACAGTCACTATTTGTTACAGTTTTCACACATTTTGAAAAATCATATGAATACAGAACGAATTGAATGGACTTCTGAACGTCATATTTAAGTACGACACATTATTGCCTTATTCCAAATAAGATCTTGTCCAGCTCTGAATCTTCACCGAGCGTGTGAAAATGAGCGACGAAGTAAAAGAACACAGTTCATTGTTTGTCACAGCATGCAGACCTTCTGAAAATCATATGAATTCAAAATCAATCGAAATGGTTCTGCTCGATATATCCAATTTCAACACATCTCTCTTCCTACAAATAAGATTTTGTCCAGCTCCGAATGTTCATAGAGTGTGCGGAAATGGGCGACGAAGTAGAAGAAACACAGTTCATTGTTTGTCTCAGCTTGCCACCTTTTGAAAAATCATATGAATTCAGAATGAAGAATCGTCATATGTTCGTCATATTCAATTTCAACACATTGTCTTCCTCCAAAAAAGAGTCTGTCCAGCTCTGAATCTTCACCGACTGTGTGAAAATGAGCGACGAGGTAGAAAAAAACAGTTCATGGTTTGTTACAGCATTCGCACCTTCCAAATGATTCATAGGAATTCCGCAATCAACTGAATCGTCTTATTTTCGTCATACGCAATTTCAACAAAATCCCTTTCTAAAAATAAAGTTTTGCCCAGCTCTGAATCTTCACCGAGTGTGTGAAAATGGGCGACGAAGTAGAAGAAAACAGTTCATTGTTTGTCTCTGCTTGCACACCTTTTGAAAAATCATATGAATTCAGCTATGATACAAATCGTCTTCTGTTTGTCATATCCAATTTCAACACATTGTCTTCCTCCAAATGAAACTTTGTCCAGCTCTGAACCTTCACCGAGGGTGTCAAAATGAGTGGCGAAGTAGAAGAGTACAGTTCATTGCTAGAGTTATGCGCTATGCGTCAGCCGAGATTCGATCTGGGATCTCACTCATTCCGAGAGCGTTTGTTAGCCGTTACCCCATCGACGCTCATTCTGTTCAGCGCTCTTTCTACGTTACAACGCGTTGGTGCTGTAACGGTTAGCATACGCTCCCGGAAAGAGTGAGATCCGCGTTTGAATCCCGGTGGACGGAAGCGTTTTTGTACAGCGCTCTACATTATTGTATATTGAAAAAAAGAATTGCGATAATGGGAAAGAGCCGTAAGAAAAAGTGTGGTGTTCCCACTTTCCAGGCATTGTTTTGCTCCAAACTCTGAGGGCAGGGTTGTCAATAAGGCGCTATTGCTTCCTCAGGAGGTGGAAAAATGAATCATGAAAAATTCATAAACAAAACAAGCAGATACAATCATTTACGGAAAACTTTTATTATTGAATACGTACCTCTAAATCAGTTGCCACATCTTCAACTGCCATTTGTGCCTCGAAGAGTGACTAAATTGTAAGGTGGGGCTCGCATGGTGTCAGCTTTCACGTGATAGGTGAGCAGCCATACAGTGTATGGTCCGTTTCTAAAGTTAGCACATGGGAGGCGCTTGGACGCACTTGAGCGCGTCCTCGACATTTGGAATCTTCTCCGATTCTTGCCGTCAAAACAGTGAGACTCTCCGCTCCATACTTTTATCAATCAATACCTATTGCCACACCGACTTCTCGCTATTACGCTAATGTCTTTTTTCTGTTGATCAAAAGATTTAGGCCTAAATCGAGCATACACACTCAAGAGAATTGAGTGGTGAGCAAAAATAAGAATGAATGGTGGTGCGCATGTGCTTCGGTGGCGTAGTAGTATTACGCGTCCCCTGTATGGATGGGACGCGGGTTCGACTCCCGTGTGAGGACGTAATTTTGCTCACCACTCAATTCTCTTAGGTATATACGAAGCATCATAGGGCTGCGAAAAATTGCGGTAAAAGCACTAGTAATCTAGAGTAAAAACGAACAATTCGTTCAATTGAAATGTGATTGCTCTAATTCTATTGTATTCACACAATTGGTTTCGTACTATCGTCGTCAGTCACGCAAACGGCATTGATTATTTTCAAGAGGTTAAATTATGACTGAGAGAAAGGCAAGGCGAAAATCTTGGTAGTGCAGTGGAAAAAAGGGTGAGCTCAATGTAAGCATGATTGCTGGTTCGAGGGCATCTCGGTATGCCTTATTTTGCTCGTATCTTAGCACTCTTATGAGTATACTTCTCTTTGACACTACAGTTCTAGTATTTAAACACTCCAACCGCCATCGAAGAATTTTCGTGTCGATTCAAATTAAATAGCAGTTGGTGACAGATTGAAAACTAAACTTCTGTGTTCTAAATAACGAACCACGTAGATTTTATTCCTCATAGAATGTAGGGTCTTATTTTTTCCACATTTTTCATATCAACTCTATCGGCTAAAATTTCCAGAGTCTTAGTAATTTTGTACACTTTGGTCGTTTGACGATCTGATCAAGTGTTCGAGTTCCTTGTCCCTATACGTTTGGTCTGCACTGTACACCGTTTTAGTTGTACTATGTTAGAGTACTTGAAGCAGTGTTTATGCTACCGTCACCGTTCGCTGCTTATTTCTCATGCGCATATATCTAAAATTTTTGATACTTTTTTCTGCCAGTAGTGACAAATCCGCCAACATTTCACGTGCACTAGATCTGCCAGCGATCGGAGCAAAAAGGCAGATGAAACTTTGATGTGGCTTTCTCGTAGAAGAGCAGTGATTGGAGTTCAGTATGTACAGTACCTTTGTCTACCTCGTGTGAGGGCATAAATAATGCAAATTAATCATTGATAGTCATCTTACAGGCTCTTTTACATTTTGTTTAACCGGAAAGAGATATATCCGCCTATGTTGCTTGTAAGTTCCGTTTTCTGATAATGTTACGCTCTAAATAGTTCCAAGATGCTGGGACTTCTTTTCATCATTTAAGAGTTTTGTTATAGGTTGTGCCTCGACCTGGCCCGCTCGGCTGCAGGCTCTCCTTCTACAGGCTATGAAAACAAAATATTTTACCTTGCACTTCACGGATTCGAGTTCCTCTTGACAAAGCAGAAATTTCTATTTCTCCTACCGACATAAAGTTTTCATAACAACACAGTGAGCATTCTTTACACGTTTGCGAATACAGATTTCAATGAACATTACAATCGTAAGTTCTCATTTAGAAGTATAAAGGGCACGGCGTTGTGTTGATTATTCTGTTGAGGATGCGCCACAAATTCCACTTCGTTAAACATCGTTACAAGTGGGTCAATACATATTTGACGCTACAATGACACGCGATGACATAAGTATCAAACAGTGTGTTAATCATACGAAGTAGTCTGGTATCAACCGCAAGAGACTGAACACTTGGTCAGCCTGATGCGTGGAAAATCAAAAACCACATATGTATTGAAGGGAATATTCTACTGCTACGGCAACCGTGTCTTGAATCTTTATAGTGGAAATCAAAGTGATACGATTTTGTGTATTAGGTTGGGAAAATAGTTCCTTAACATCCGTTAGAAACAGAAAGTATATATATATATTATATATATATGTATATAAAATTGCACATTTTGTTTTTTGCAGAGATTTTGGTATACAATTTGCCTATAATTACTTTATGATGGAGTTGTTAGGACAGCAAATTTGCTCGCTGCTCAAGCACGAATGGCGCGTAGAGAAAAATGCTAATGACGCGGCGCGTAAGATCAGTGGAGCTTTTGACGATTATACTGTTGGAGAAAGGACGAACAGGAAAAGGTTCGCGGAGTTCGAAGCTGGAGAGAGCAGACTGGAGGATCAGCCATGCTCGAGACGTTCACAGAAAGCTCCATTTATTTTCGCGCCGCTTCATTACCATTTCCCCCTACGCGTCATTCGTGCATGGGCAACAATCGAATTTGTTCCCACGACAGCTCTGTCTCAAAGCAAGTGTAGGTAAGTATCCCAAAATGTTTGCAGAAAATGCGCAATTGAGCTATATCAAAGTCATGTGATAGATATATATGTATATACATACATATATATATATATATATATATATATATATATATATACGTTGAATCTTCATCGGGTGTTAAGGTACTTTCTCCTCAACTTGATATTGAGTGCCCATTCTGGTTTTCCGCATGCAGCAGAAGGGCTTTTCCTATTGCAACTGTCACATTTAAAAGAAAGTTTGATTCAGCCTGATCAAGCATTTATGCTTCAACGGCCATCGAATCGGCGTTCGACATGTTTGAGAGGATGATAGCACTGCTCTTACATCAAAGATAAAGACGCTCTCCAATCATTTTTGAGGCCCGATAAGTGCTCAGTCTTTTCGACAGTGTTACCAGTGAAGTGGAATACATCGCACATTTTTTGAAGGCTAATCAAGTAGTCATCATTTGCGTTTTCTGTCATTCCTCGACATTCATTTACATAGAGAACGAATAAGGAAGTGTTCGTTTGAATTTTAACAGACACATGCAAATTGTTCCATTAAAAGGTTTACAACGAGACTTATGCATCTGACCATAGTTTGTTTCTATTCATGGCCTTCCATTGAATCGGATTCCGTCCTTCGTTCTATCATATCACCCACACCTCAGCCTCAAAAAATCTATTTCTTCTAGTGTTAATTCAGTCCAGTTATTGTGCCGACGATATAGAATATGCTCTCGATGTGGAAATTTTCCTGATTTTCACTTGAATCATTCATAAAGACAATACTTGTATAAATAGTATTTCTTGATTATGCTACAGTTGGAACGAAAGTTCTGGAACACTTTAATAAACACGAGATGACTCCCATGCATATTATGAGAATATTACAGTTTCTTATGTGGGATTTTCCCACTAAAGGACTTGATTACATTCGTTTTCGTTTTTACTTTGTTACAAACCTTCACCATGCCCAATGCGACAACTGAAGTTTGTGTTTTAGTGCGTCATTGTTGAAGAAAGAGTCCTTCGCAGCGAGCTGCAGTCAATGAAATCAACGAGTTGAAAGGGAAGGCACAACAAACTAATCTGCTGCTGGACGCTCGTTTCAATGCTTCGTTGCAAAAGATTTTGATCTCAAAGGCAAGCCTTGCTCAACACGTCCAGCAATGTTGAACAGGAAGATTTGATTGCTGCACTGGAAGATGGGCCGTCATCGAGTGCTTGCGGATTCTTGAATTGGCAGTCAAAGGAATGGTACTTTGACCAGATCCAAAACTTAGCGGGCCGATGGCAAAATGTCGTAGAAGACGATGGCCACTACTTTGAAGAGTAGTTATTACTGTCTTTGCTTGGAATTCATGCATAAATTTTCAGTTTTTTGCAGATGCCCCCCAAACTTTCCAATCCAATAATTATCGCACTAGGAATGAGATGTGTTCACAGGTGGGATAATAGAAAATTAGGAAATTTTCCATTCACAAATACAACGATTAATACATTAGCAAAGTCAATCGTTCGAATGCTGTGCATTTCTCGTCGTTTTAATGATTTTCGTCATTTTCCGCGAAAATATCGGAGTTATTAGTAGTTCAACCATGAAAGTAAAATTCTTAATGAAAGTTGCATCTACCGTTATCATTCACTCAGTGAGGAAAGAATCAAAAGCAATAATGAAAATTAATTTGCGCAACAATGAGATAGAGCCACGGTCTTGGAACTCGTTTTTTTTTTCTTTTGTGTATAATGCCCTAGCAGAATGATTGTGATGCTCGTCGTGGCACGAGCAAGCTAAGAACCCCTCATTCCCCAGCACTTTTCGGCAGTCAACAACGGGCACCCTATAAAACACTACAGCTGGACCATCATCGGCATTGCGAGGAGACGTAATCAGCCAGTATTCTACGATGTTCACAAGGAAGGCGAGAAAAAGATATTGAATGATGGAGGCACTGGAAAGCGCACGATTGAAGAAACACTGTGAAGACGGATCAATGGATCGTGCCAAAAAAAATTTCTTCAAATTTTTGATTCAGAGAAAACATTTGGGATTGCCGCAGAGCTATCTTTTTTTTTAAGTAACGTACGCGATGTATAGTCAATCATTTACACCCGCAGCTGCCCCTATCAAGTTGGTGATTGGGACAATTGAGTTTCATGAGTGCGCAGAACGGTTTTCTAAACGAAGTGGTCTACACATTATCTTGATGCCTGAAAAATTCGAAATGCGCAAAACAGAATGAATCCTTATCTTGCTCCATGAACGATGAGCCCGATGGCGTTGTTTAACATGAAATTAGCCTTGTTGACCCCAACAATGATAAGATTCAGTCGAAATTATGAACACCAGGTTGTTGAATTATGACTTGAATAACTGAGTTATAGGACCACTACCCTAACCAAACGCGACTGGTCAGATTGACGAAAAGCAATTGCCGTAACATAAGTACTGTCCTACCTCTGATAAGGAACACAATGAATTCTCTGCTTTCGTAGCTCATCGACGTGTAATCTGCATTAATCTCAAATGGACTTGTTATTATTCATTAAGTAAAGATCATACTGCTTTTCCATTATCGCCTCAGAGTCGTTTGTCGATTTGCGTTGTCGCTCTTCCTTGCGATCGGCCAAATATAGCCACGCAGATCAATTGCACGTTGGCTCCTTTGGCGTACGGAGAGAATCGTCTGAAATGGAGACTAGAGGATGATGAAACGACGATGCTCAAAATTTACGTAAAATCAAAATGGATTAAGCAAGATATAACCCACCAAACAATTTTTCCAGTTGTAACGTTGCGCATTTGATATGCTTTTCATTCATTGCTGCCTCCTCTATACGAAATAAAGGCCTACTCAGCTGAAGAAAAATAACTACAAAAACTTGAAGTTTAGGTATGTCCGATATTGTCTGCTTAACATACCTATTGTGCCTA